TGTAATAATTCTTTAATATATTACTTGTGTGGTGTAGAAGAGAATAGAAGTGAATCATTTATTGCTTGCAAACCAATGATGGTAAGATGATGTCATGGGGTAGGACTGGATAAGTCTGACTTCTTCCTACTCCATTCAAGCATGTACTAGGTATAAGCAAATTGATATTGGATTAGCATTTGTTGGATATGTGTAAAATTATGTGTGTTGACATATCAACTGTCTTTACATGCTTGAAAGAATAAATCAAATCAAATCAAATACCACCTTTTATGGTGACAGCTCACACTTGGCCACTCATCCAACAGATTGCCCATCTTGGGGTTTTTCTCACTTGATTTGTGTCTTGCTTTCAAAGCCTCTCACATAAAATGGTTGCCAGTTCCCTATGCTGCTTTTCGTGTTTACTTGCCAGGTCTCCTCTTGCACCCTTTGGCACCCACTTTCTCACTCACTCATTGCTCTGTGTCTCTGATAAGCTATACATAAAATCCACTACAGTCAAGGTCAACCCAGACTGTGTCTACCTAGCAAAGAGTCAGAGTAAGGCACTGGGAGGAAAGATGAAATACTGAAGAATGGGGAAGAAGGCAGCCATGTGTAGTCACCTGTCTGATTAGGGGAGTGGCTGACGGAATCCCGAATGGGAGCCATGCCTGGAAACAGAGAGAGGAAAGACTGTCATACAGACTCAGAGGGAGTTAGCGATAAAGACAGAAAACAAAGAGTGGGGAGATGTTAGAGAGATACTTCAATGAGAATCAAGCCAACAAAACGAGTGAGACAGGCTTGCAAGTAGAAGAGTATTAGTGGATAGACACTGCAGGTTTCTAAACCTACACTGGCATTTACCAGCTTTATCCGGGTTGTAATATAAATTACTGTGCTATTATAAAGTTTTTATGAACTCAGGTATATTCACATCAAGATGTTCCATGTGTTTGTTGTGCTTAGTGATTTGTCTGAGCTGAACATGGTGGAATATCTGAATTGGTATTCATGATGACCTTTATTAGCAGCCACCACCGAATTATTTAAGCCTTTGCAAAGTAAAGACTACACATCTTCTTTGTTCCCACTATCTGTGATAGAAAAACGTGAAGCAACTCAGCAGGACCCGTAAGCAGTGTGTTCATGTAGGCTACTGTGCCTATATGCAGCGGAGGATGCAGACATAACTGAATTCTAGCCACTGCTTTTTTTCTTTTACTAGTTTACCTGCGAGTGTTTCTTGTAGCTGCGGCTCCTCGGTGGGCAGGAGGGCGTCCCCGGGTTGAATGGAGAACAAGTGACCCCTGGTTCCCAGTTCGACAAAGGGGAGGTCAGTGGTCAAAGCTCACAGGGTACAACCTCAATAACCTGAGGTGAAGAGGCAGGGCTTGTCAGAGCAGGCAGCAGGCTGATCAGGCTGCCTTGGCATCGCTGGGGACTGTATGTGTGCGGGTAAGTGTATGTGCGGGGAGGGGGAAGGGGGGGGGATGTAGTTTAGATTTAGGACTCTGCCTTGACTTGGTATGCTCCAGCACTGCAGAGAAAGAGACAGAAGAGAGAAAGAAGGTTACTTCAACATACTGTATGCCCATTAGCATCGACTTCATAAAGAACCATCAGCTGTAAACCATACAATCACAATTTCCATCATTAATCCACATCAGAGGTTTCGAGACATCTGTCACCTCACTCTTATCTCACAGCACAACTTTGTCAACCCACAGTGACTCAGACAAGCATGTGACACACAAATCCAGGGAAAATGCTTCTTATGAGGTCAAACTTATTTTGTGATTCATACCATCACTTCACCACTACACGAATGCGTCAGATGTGGTTACACCTGAATTAGGCCAAAGTAGCCAAAACTAAAGTAATCATGGTAAATTTTTCAATCCCAGTGATGCAATGAAGGTCACAATAACAAAAACTGGCCTGAACTGAGCCATGGATTTGGAGAGTTGTTCCACCCCTAGCCTTGATGCATAGTTAAATTTTAAAGAAGGTGAAGATGTCAGTGCCTACAGCGCATCTATGAAGGCGACATGTGGTTTCTGCAGCCAGAATCTACAGGTTTGCCAGTTGTGGCACCACCACTGTGTTAATGCGAGTAACCCTGGTGAAGAAGAATAATTCTTTGCATCTTTCCGCTCCACTGCTGATGGTACACTTGAATGCGAGAAGAGTTACACAAGTTAGATAGGTTTAGTCAGAAAAGTAGCGTGAAGAAAGACTGACCAGTCCACTTCTTGAGAAGGCTGTGCCCTCTTCTTGTGAATGAGTTAGACTAGATTAGGGGTATACAACAGGCTTAAAGCAGGCAGCACTGACCTTGGAAGCCATGGCAAGCAAAATCTGTTACAGGCAAGGACATAGAAAGGTATCGTATAGGGAGAAAGAAAGAAAGAGCCAGTAAAAGAGGAAGGAAAAGAAAAGAAAACAAAGACTCAAATCAACAGAAGGGGGAGAGAGAGACAGACATCCTTCAGTGAAAGTGGACCAGTGTATATGACAGCAAAAAGTATGCGTGCACATCTCCTGACCTTTTCTCTGTGCATGATAGCAAGTGTGCTAGCTCTCTGATTGCTGCAGCAGTACACAGGTCTATTTATAAACCTTCAGTTCAGATAGCAACCACTCTGGTCACTAGCCAACACGATAAGAGAACAAACAAACCCATGTGCGGACAATGAACAAATCTGTTACAGGTTCAGAACATACGTTATATCTATCAATGCTATAAAAGCCTACATACTGGCCATACACACTTAAATGAGGCCAAGCTCCACCTTTGTTAACTCAGGGCTCCCTAGCTAAACCTGGGCAAACAGCCAACATCCAAACATCAGGTCTGCCAGAAGCTGCTTAGCCACTCTCTGGAACCAATCAAAAACCAGGCAGTGACAGAACAATCTTTACAAAAACTTCCAAGGAAGTGGCTCACAGGTATTCTAAAGAAGAAACATTATTCAGAAGAGGAAAAAAAAACCAAAAAGCAGAGTGTTGACTGCGGAACGGACCTGTGTCCTCTGACAGCCACAGCACTAAAAGGACTCAGCCTTCCTCCATGGAAAACCCCGTCAACCCCAAGACATCCAATTTAAAGCAGCTATGCAGAGAGGACAACGACGGGTAGAGCAGTCGTCTCCCAACCAGAAGGTTGGAGGTTCGAATCTGCCTGCAGTCCACGTGTCCTTGGGCAAGACACTGAACCCCCCCGTTGCCCCCGATGGTTAGAGCCATCGGTTGAGGTGGCGCCGCAGATGGCTGCCTCGGTTCTGTACCAGAAACAAATTCCTGGTGTGTAACATACTTGGCCAATAAAGGTGATTATCCTTATCCTTATATAGTAATGAAAAATATTTCAGACTTTGTTGTGGCAAGGCCACGCTCATCCTACAGTAAGCCATTACTGGTTAGTGGTGAACACTGAGAAAAATGATTTTTTGACCAACAGTATAATTTATAATGAAATGATTTCCTATAAATTAAAGCCTGTAAATTAAAGCGGAGTCAATTTAGCTGGTCAGTTAGTCACTCATCCCAGGTCCAGACGAGAGGGTAGACACCCAAACCGAGCTCAACGGGACCCATCAGTGCCCAAGGGTTCAGGTCAGGTCAGCAATATGCAGCCTGATCCATGCTCTTGATATTTTTGTCTGAGGTGAAGGTCACTATGTCAAATTACACAATTAGTCAAATTCTTACTGTGACAAATTACACACTAGTACTTGACAAAGCATGACACACCATCTTTCACAACTTCCTTCACGTCGTTGGTAGTAGATTTTAGAGACTGGGAACAAGAATATAAACACAAAATGGTGTCTGAAGTGATGTGCACGATACCAGCTGTCTTGCCCATCTATGGGTCGCACAAAGAGGGCAGTATGGGTTGTCAATCCTTCAAGGAGAACTCATAGTAATAATAACAGTGCTTTTAAGCTGGTAGTAAAACAAAAAAAGACGCTAGCTAGCCCTTACAGGGTACTTTCCAAAGCGAGGAGCAAGCTGCATAGCTTTAGGTTCTGGATTTTCTTTTCAGACACACTAAGCAATGTGATTAGATTTTTCACCATTTCCTGCAATTATATAGGCACAACAGTTTAGCTGATTACACATGAAAATAAAAACCAGATTAGTCAATAAAAAATCCTCAGATGCAGCTATAATGTAATGATTATAATCAGGATTTAATTCAGGCCTAGTAATTTCTTTTGCTAGTTAGGAAGTGTTACAAAGCGGCTATTGTTATTAACTGTAATGTATATAACCATGTTCATTGCTGCTTCCTCGCTACATAGTGTACAGTGTGTTCCTCTTCACTAGTGTGTCCATCTGAGAATGGTTTCATGAGGCCCCTGGAGTTGGCAGCAGTGTCACTGCTGCTATCAGTTTACAGACAGGGCAGAGGGGGAATGAGGGGGTAAAAGGGACAAGACAAGCAGAAAGGGGCAGCAGAGAAAGAAATGTGAACCAAAAAAAAAGGCAGATGATTCAAGGTAAAGGAGGGAAAAAGAAAAGTGGAACGTGAAAAAGGAAGGACAAAGAGCCCGTCTTTGAGGTTGCAAGAGCAACGTAGCAGCTTTTAACATGTATAAAAAGCAAAAGAGGTCAACTTCCTGAAGTCAGCAGCACATGAACCCTTTACCGTGTGTTCTCCCTTCGAAGCCTTTGAGAGGCAAAACAGCCCATACACTGTAATCTTAAACAATGGTAAAGAAACAGAATTAACCAGTAAAGTGTTTCGGCACCGTTTTCTGTTTTAGCAGTTACATAAACTAACCTGGTGAGTGGGAGTAGAGCCAAGTGTGATCTAAACCAGGATTCATCCAAATAGATATAAAACACTTTTTAGCATTTCTCCAACAAAGGCAAAAAAACACAGGTATGTATCTGTATTGAGTCTTGAGTACCTAGGGAACTGTAGAACCTTCTGAATAGTGGGTGTGCTGGTACAAATTCAAAAGGCGGCAAACAATCAAAGTGTGATCCTGTAAGGGGTGAAACAGACATTTAACTGATTTCAAATGTTTGTTTAGGACATCTCCCAAATCTCTTGGGTCTCTGCCAAAGGTCAGTCTTTTCCTCAGAATCTCTGGCACCTCACTTCCCACATACCATCAATGATGCTTACCCAAAATTAGTCACATTTTAGATAACTCTCCTATGCTTAGAAAGTGATACCAAAAAAATACTAGTGATGCCGTACATTCATACTATAAAAGGTTAGCACAGTGGGGAGGTACTGTACAGGTTTTTACCTGTGCCTGTCAACTAAGCACTGTTTTTAGCTAAAGGCGCTTTTCGCATATCTCGATGTTGCTATGCAACTGCAAAATCTAACTGATGCACAGTGCTTTTTTTCCAAAAGCTGACATTTTAAAGAAGCATTTGCATGGCAGTAAAACACAATTAGGCCTTCAGCAGATGTTGAGAAAGAGGGTTGCACTAAGTGTGGGCAGTGTATGAACATGACATGGATTTGGCTACAGTTAAGTCTTTGTATAAAGTGATTTCACCTCAAGCGTACACAGGCAGTAGTGCACTTACTGTACGTTACACTCTCCCTTTTCACTAAAATAAATGCACACTTGTATGGTAAGAAAAGGTGGCTGAAGAAATGCAAAGAATCAGCACCACATGCCTGTTAAATGTTATGTTGGAGCAAACGTTTGTCATATATTATGGACAAGTTTCCTCATCTTCCACCTCTGCACTGCATTTGAAAGTGTTCCAGCTTCACAAGTACACTGTCAAACATTCCTGAGTCACAGACATGTTCCCATTTGAGAGCTTGCACTGCGGCCTCTTCATATTGCATCCACTTTATACTACATAGTGCATTTTGACACAGTTTAAAATATTATTTATATTTGATTTTCTTTAACCGCTCTCTTAAGTCTATGTTCTGGAGCTGAACTAACCAGTAAAGACACCCCACTTAGGGAAGACCCTGTTGTTATGGCAACATTCCTAAACACTCCCAATTCCTTTGGGCTTGTCTGAGCAAGATGACATCAGCGAAGCAGCAGCATATGCCAGTGTTTCTCTCTCAAACATGCAAAACCACTTACAGAATTATTCAACATGAAAATGGAGCAGAAGCCTGGGAGTGAAAGCAGGCAGCGGAGGAAGACGTACTCACATCGTTTACTTAAGTAGGGGCACATATCACATTGATGTACATAATGGGTTATAATAAGTGATGCATTATTTTGTTAATCACTTTCATGTTGCAGCTGGTAAAGGTGCAGTGAAAGTTAGCTACTTCACATTTCTCAGCAGCCAATAAACTCTTACATTTAGTTTTCTTCTGAAAAGTAACTAAAGTTATCAAACACACATAGTGCAGTAAAAATTACAATTTTAACCTCTGAAATGTAGTGAAATCAAAACATAAAGTAGCAGACAAAATACTCAAGTACCTCAAAATTGTACTTGGCTCCCCTGAATTTCTGTCCGATAAGGCACCACTTTGAAAAGGTGTCAATAATTCTGTCCAGTCCATTTTAGGAGTTCTTTGTGGAATGTATCAGATTTGCCCCCCCCCCCCCCCCCCCCCCTCTGCTTTGGTGTTGTTCCAATGCAAACAAGGAAATAAACATAAGAATGCCAAAGAATTGGTGACTGCAACAACTTTCTGGGAGAAGTTCTGCGTTATCTGACAAATACAGGGGCACCAATATTTTTGGCCATGACTGAATGTGCAGCACTTGAGTAAATGTCCTTAGTTACTTTCCACCACTGAAAGCAGGCAGTCTGAATCTGTCCTGCTCCAACTCACCTGGTTTCATGTGAGAGCAATATGAAGGAATGACAAGCATGAGGGCGTGTTCAAAAGGTGCAGATTATGGGAACAACTGTGTTGCACGTGTCTGCATCTCTTTCAAAACAACATGCAGGAGATGAGACTGCATGTGTACAGCAGATAAGTTCACTTGTCACACAGTCCTCCACTGTTACGTCAGTGCTGGGAGGGGTTCGGAGGGGCACCCAACCACCAAACTCAAGCCAAAGCCAATGTGTGGAGAAGCAACTCATTATTCAATTCGTCCATTACTCAGTCATCCATTTGCCTTCCCAGTCACCTGTGCACCCACGCCCTTCTGTTAGTGGTTGGCACCAGGCGAGCAACTTATCTACTCCACAAATAGTATGAAATTACTTGTTTGTTTTTCCTTTTCAAGTGCAGGCATAAGAGGACTTTAAGCCTTCTGGGAGTCGAGTATGCTTTGCCATTTTATATTGAGCAGATTCCTTTCATGAATTGCTAGATTCCCGTCTCTGCATTGTGCTGCAGAACAGATGGGTGTGAAACTATTTTTATCTTACAAGACTTGTATGTACTCTGGCAGCCACAAGGCAGATAAACCAGTGTTTGTGTCACTTTCTATTATTTTGAAATGACCTAATTACTTTGGATTCCATTATCCAGGTTTAATGCTGGTGATCACTCTGCACTAGCATTCACTGACTGTACACATGTCAGCATCCAAGTACTTCAGTGTAAACACTGCGAGCAAACCAGAGCATAATTTGTTCTCTACTAATAATTCTAATTTTCAATCAGTATGTCATTTGTACTCTTGATTGTTTTGGCTTATTCAATGTTTAAAAAGTTAAAAATATCCATCACAAGTTTTCAGAACCCAAGGTGGGTCAGTGGGTAGAGTAGTCATCTCCCAAACAGAGGGTCCGAGGTTCGAATCTCGGTGCCTGTAGTCCGCATGTTAAAGTGTCCTTGGGCAAGACACTGAACCCCCAAGTTGGCCCCAATGGTTAGAGCCATCGGTGTGAGTTGGCACCGCAGATGGCTGCTGTTGGTTCTGTACCGGAAACAAATTCCTTGTGTGTGTGTGTGTGTGTGTGTGTGTGTGTGTGTGTGTGTGTGTGTGTGTGTGTGTGTGTGTGAGTGAGAGAGAGACATACTTGGCCAAACAAAGGTGATTATCCTTATTAAAAATGCTTCTTTTGTTAGATAAATTAACCCAGGCCCAAGGGTTTACATTTTACTACCATACAACAGGGAAAAAAAGGAGAAATACTGCAGAAACTGTAAACCAAACTTTGCCTTTTCATTCAACTAAACTTCAGTACAGTTTGTGTACATGGTGAAAAAAAATCTGATTTTAAATGCCATATCCTTGCTTAATTAAAAGGTAAATTAATTTGTGCCTGCTCAACAGCTGACGCCAAATGAAAGCAAATTAGCTTAGTTACTACAGTAAAAGACCACGTTCAGTATAGACCCAGAACCTTGCAGAAGTACAATGATTACACTTGTTACTATATAACCATTATCTAGAGGAAGAGCTTCCATCACAATAAATGGCTGTGCCAGTTCACAGTATAGTACTGTAAAGATAAAGTCAACTACTGGTTTGTTAGTACAGAGACATCACCAAATCGAACCGTATAGTAAGAGTGAGACACACAAGCGGAACAGGAGGGAAGTGGAGAGGAGTGAAAGCAAAAGCAAGAGACAGGGGGCGCAACTGAAACTTCATGGCACACTCAAGGTCACATACAGACACCATCAGACTTCCTGCCTCCACCAACCCTTACAGTAGTTTCAGCTGTAACAGTAGTAGTCCTGTACAAATAGGTCTGAATGGAAACTGTAACAGCAATTCAAATGAAAACCACTACTTCACAGGGCAAAGAACACCAGTGTACTGAGGACTGTAACTGGTGGGTATAGGCCATCACTCAGCACTGACATTAGAGCGAAGCTCACGGCACTACTAAGGCAGATAAACAGGGACAGGACCCAGACCACACAGGGAGATAAAAAAAAGATTTGAATGAAGCGGCTTCACAGCTGAAATAAGCAAACAGGCTAAAATTACTCAAAAGGAGAGTTGATTTTTTTTTGTGTGTGTTCAGTCAAGCGGTTTGTGGATTTTAAGTCTTCTGGGAGTCCAACGTGCTACAGAGCCAGTTCCTATCATGTATTGCCAGATTCATGTCTCTACACTAAAATGCAGTACTGAGGGTCATGAAATTATTTTAAGCATGCAGTGCTCCTTTTTTATTACCTGAAGCAGAGCAATGTTGATATGCAATATTTATCACAGCCATGTTTACTGTCCAAAGCTGCATTTGGGGCCCGGCAAAAAAAAAAAAAAAAGCCTATCAAAACAATGAGAAAGCACAGAGGAGGGCCTTATGGTTTCATTGGCACACCGCTCACTGTAGATAAGCAGCTGTGCAAGGTGAACAGAAGCAGCAGATAAAGCACAACAACTTGAGTCCTCACAGAGGAAGACTTCCCTAACAATGCTAAATCAATGCATACAGTTAGACTGAGGGCTGAGCAATAATATCTCTCACTGACTTGCAGTGGAATCAGTGGGATTTTACAATTACACCAATTTAATGAAAAGAAAAATACCAAAATGAGCTTGTTTTGTTTTGTACCCAGGAAGCTGCTGACAGAAGACTCGATCTCTTCTCTCACCTTCCGTCCAGTATCTTCTTATCCTCCTTCCTCTTCACACTCTCCGTCTCTCTCTCTCTTCCATCCACTGTTCTTCCCTCTATGGGTGCGTTCCCTGTGGAGAACAGAAGGAGATTAAGTTCAGACTGAGTGCGTTGAAAAGCAATCCCTTGCAGTGTTTTAATGCATGGAGCATATTACATCAGGATTTGGATACAAGTATAGGACAGAAAGGCCAACAGGTTTAGATGTTGTCTGCACATAAAGAAGTCATTTTCTAAAGCAATACTAGTAATATTAAAGCAGTTTGTTGCCTGTGCCACCATGGAACAAGATCAAAACATCTGGCCATAGAAAAGGCAAAGTGGTAACTTTAACCTTTGTAAGAAAGCATTTACACAACCTCTTGACCAATTAGAATTTTACACTTTTCAGCTCCAATGCGGCAAAAAGGTCCTCTAATCCAAGTCCATTAGTTTCTTATGATACTGAGACATCTCTTCAGCCACTTAGTTGCACTGGTCCCAGTGGGTGTGCCTTTTAGCCTGCAGGAGAAAGCTGCAGTCTAATCCAATAATGGGATTACAGTGCAGCACTTACCTTCACTATAAACACAGACACATAGAGATGCTGAAACAACCTAGACAATCACCACAGCTGAAACATTAAGTGTGTAATCACTTGGCACAATTTTAATAGGGATGCACCAACACCACTTTTTCCAGACAGAGTCTAAGTACTTACATTTGAGTACTTGCGGATACAGAATACTTATGATAATGCAATGTTTCTACTAAAAAAATTACAATTAGCATAAAGATGCCGCTATATTAATGAGGTTTACTTTCTGATTGTGATTAAATAAACTACACCGATAGGAGGCTGTGCAAGATACCTGAAAACCTTTGTTGGTGTAAACAGCACTGCCACCATTCCTATTTAGTGTAACAGCTGAAGGTCTGTAGCCTACTACACAGTTTACTGTAATACAATGGTTTTTAATCTTTTGTGGGTGTGACCCTCTGATCGAATGAAATTTCATGATCCCCACCCAGAACATCAAAGTTCAAGAGCACATATGACAATGTAAAGGTTTAATTTAACAAGGTGCATGAGGCTAGTTTAAACTGGCAACTTTATGTGGCTTCAGGCTGTCCCCTCTGCTGGACATGTACCTTCACTGCTGTAGGGCACCATTTTGGTCTCAAGTCCACATGAATTCACCTTAACCAATAACTGCAAAGTGATTTATTTCTGCCTTAACTCCTATTCGGCACTAGGGGTACAGGGCAGGCAGCGCAATGTTTGAAAAATAGTTACAGGAGGGCACAAATCGTCTTTTACCATGTCAAAAACATTGGATTTGTTTTAGAATCAGTCTTCTCTTCCTGACTACAGCTCGTCACGTGATGTAATGCTTTCCTGCTATTGGTTAACGCAGTTAGGTGAGGAAAAGGCAGCGCTTGGTTTGATGCAAGGCATCTCCCTACTATTGCAAACACGGCAGTGTTAGGTATTTTTATTCAGATAGAAATTGGATAGATACTTTATGTATTAGAAATGTTTAGTGGAGATAGGATGTCTAGTTAGACTGTTAAATGCTTAGTCATGCTTATGAGTTTCTACAGGGTACATCTGGTCAAGGATAACTAGAGAGAAGAGTTGATGACTGTCAGCAGACAGGGTGTTTAATATTATTATTATGACGTGTATAACTGTAGCCTTAGCCATAATATGTTCTTATGTTTAAGTCACGACGTGTACTAGAAGTCTGTGAGAATGTTTTTAGTTACACACCACTTAATCAACAGACACACACACACATTGATTTGCTTCATGTTTTGACCTTTCATCTTACATCTGCCTGTGAGCAGTTTGGAGGTGCAAGATACCTGAGCGTGTAATGTTAATTTTACCTGTGATCCTTTGAATAAATCAGCACTGTTTTGAAGTTACTTGGACTGTCTCGTCTCTCAGAGTTAGCAATGGTAACAAGAACCAAAGTCCTGCAGCAGAATCACTGTGACGGGAAACTAAGATCACACAGGGATCTAGGTTATGCTCACCATTGTGCGGTGCATACTGTTTTAGTGTTAGGTGTGGACCTACACGTGCAGATTTTGGTGACCAGTGAATAACCTGTGACAACACTCTGATAGCAGCATTCACTGCCATCAGTACCTACATAAATGGGCTTAACTTCCCCTAAACTATTCTGGTCAATGTGTTTCAATGGCAAATGAACTCACCACCTCCAGACTCCACCCTCCTCCCTCTGTTCCCATACTCCCCCCCTTCCTTCCTCCCCTCCTTTCCAACTATCACGTTTATCAGCAGATGGCTCTGGGTTCATCAACAGCAACAGCAGAGCATGATGGGGGCCCTCCTGGAGTGCACACACCAACAGCATCTGTTTATGAATGGACTGACAATTACCCAGCTGACAGAGGGGGGAGGCACCCAGTGCAACAATCAGCCAGTATTAGAGTTTATTAAATAGCTGTTGAACAAGCAGAACACAGACTTGGCAGAAATGTGTCTTCAGCACTTTCCCCGGGTCCATGTTTTACCCTTAAACCAACAAATGAAGTCCTTGTTTTACCTCTAAACCAGTATAGGAGTCTCTTTACACAAGGTGCTTTTAATGGTAATGACTGAGGTGTAATGAACGGACATTTAACCAATCACAGGCGAGTGCACTGTGCACACACACCCCTCCCCCTGTGGTTCCTAGAACTTGATTTTAGCACTACCTCCTGAGGGGTGCCAAAATTTAGCCCCCAGAAGGCACCTCCAAAGCAGGCACAAGGCAGTGAATCAAACACAGAACCTGTGACCCGACACGTTTCAGTGGGTTCCTATAATGAAAAAACCCCTCAAGACAGACGTGTGTCAGGACAACAAGGGTCAGGGTTCATGGGGGTGGACTCTCAAAATGACATCACAAATGTGCTTTCCCTTTCCAGAAAGTGACAGTATCCTTTAAATAACTACAGGCAAACAACAAAAATCAACCCCATGCTATTTGTTTAATTGCCAGAGAAATTTCACATTTTTACCACTTGGTCTAATATGCTTCATTATATATGGGCCATGATTGAAAATATGTACCCACTGAGGCTTTAGGTATATGCTGAACCTGATTATCAGTAGTTCTTGCCTAATCTAGGTGATGAGTACAGGTACTAACCATGTCCTCTGTCTTTTTGCTCTTTAATGAGTCTGTCAGTGTTTAACTGTGACAAATGATGAGAAGACAACTCTGCTTCCCCGTTTGAAAAGTGTTATAAAGGTTATCTTCAGTAAGTTTAGCATGTACAAAATTATCAACGGGTTTTTCCACTGTAGCATACTTGTGCCAATAGAAAAAAACTCAGGTAATTTCACAAAATACACAGTAAAGTTAGTCTGATCATGCTGCTACTGGCCTTCCCTATTCAGTGTAACATACATATCACTAGACCGAGGAAAAGAGACCGCTTTCTAAAAATACCCCATTACTCAATATGGTGGTGTTAAAGTGGGTAAAATAACAATCTGGACAGTTGGTTCCACCATAAAGTTTATACATTGTCTTTTTTTTTTCATCCTGAGAGAGGGGGAGGGTTGAGAATGATAAATAGCAGCAGACAGAAAAAGAAGGAATATAGTTGAAAAGGGTCTCTAGTGACAACACGTACAACTCTGTAGGACAGTTTTTAAGAGTCAGATAACTACAGCGGACACAAAAAAGTGGGCAAGACCGTTTTTCAACACTTTGGGTGATATATATGGCTTTTCAGACATGGCCTACATAACACTGCTGGGTTCATAGGTCACTTTAATGTTCCTCACGTCTTTATTCCGACCTACTCACGACCGTGACGGAGAGATCATTTGCCATACCTGTGAGATTGGACAGCACACCGAGTGGTATATAATGTATGAGGCCAGAGTTTTCTTACTACAGAATGGCAGACAAACATCATTGTGTTCCATGAGAACTTTGTTTGTCCCAAGCTGTTGGTGTTTAGGGCATTCTCCAAAACAATCATGTTTTAGTGAGCTGAGCGACACACACACACACACACACACACACACAGTCAGGACTTGCTGGCCCACTAACAAGGCTTTATATCAATACGTCTACGTCAATCTTACCATGACAATGCGCAGTACAGATTTGTGTCTCGTGCAAAGTGATATATAAATGTTACTCTGTCCGACCAAGTAAGATTGCGCTTGCAACTTTTATGAAAAAGTGAACAGGGTGTTCCTTCAGACATGAAGCCGGCACATTCAGGCGTCAGTGAACTGAGCATTCCCATGTGTGTAATGCATCCTGGTTCAAGTACAAACAAAGCTTATTATTCCATTCTACATTACTCTATATCGTCTGCCCCTGTTGTCTTTGAACTTCAGGGGATCTGCTACATTCAGTAAAGTTTAAAGCTAGTTTTGCTCTTGTGAGATAAACAGTGTACCACAGAGTCCGCTGCATCCTACCTGCATTTTTCCTAGTCTTTCCATACCTGCTGTCAAATTGGCTTTTCAAGGAGGCAGAGATCAGAAGCCCAAGGCTTTAGACTACTGCATCCTAAGACCCTGTAGGAGCGTTTTTCTCTCCCAGCAGCGAGTCATGCTGAGAAGCCAGCAAGGACTGTTAAGCTTATAGGAAACTGAGTATTGATTGCATTTTCAGCCGATCTCACACATACACCCAAACACAAATCAATAGACATGAGCATCCACAAACACACACAGTCGAGGGTTTCTCTGTCGCCCAAGAACAAAAGCCAGAGGACAGTCGCGTGGCTAATTTGCATGTACAACACCACATGATTTGCATCAATTTGCATTAGTATGTTCTCAGAAAACACTGAAGTACCACTGAAGAGAGTCATCACTCAATTAGTGAATGACAACAAGCTCCTCATCCGGAACAGCCCGGGAGCAAAGGCTGACATTGGGAGATGTGATGTTTCCAGCCCAGCTGCATTAAATCTGTGATTTTGACAGAGCAGTCAAAATCAGGTCGGTTCATTTCAGGACACAGTAACTTAAGAAAGGCACTATGATGTTTCTGGCTGGGGAAAAAAGCAATTCAATTTTGCCACTAGCAGAGGAGGCTGGGACAGACACCTTCTGAATCAAAGCATTTCACCAAGGCGTTATACCAACTTTGTCAGCTGCACAAATCTGAATCAAAATGCAAACCAAAAACCATTCAACCACACAACTAAATAACTTGCTCACATAAAATTGGCTTTTTGCAGGTAGCGTATCCTGTCCGACTCTGCACAGGTCTATGGCACCAAATGCTGTGTTTCTGATCCTTCCTTGTCCCAGTCTCGTGACTATTTGCAGGTGTGGCTTTACTGTGCAGAGGGCAATGGTCAACTACCTGATCCCCAAACAATACAGCAAAACCTCAGGAATTTGCAGCACTGTGCCACTGAATTCCAAAAAGTTTACAGTGCAACAGCATCAACACTTCATACACCCTGCAAGTATTTTTAGACAAGAATGCAAACATGTTTAGACAATGGTAATTTGGGAAATGACCCACACAAGCTAAAATGAAAGTGAAGCTTGATAGACTATTCTACTAAACCAAAGAAACAGCAACACTAGTCACAGCTAATTACAAATTACTGTTACAACTGTTTTATGATTATGATAAAACATGCTCAAACAGAATTAACTGGATATGAGAGCATAAACAAAAAGGCTGGACAGTGCTTCTGTGTCTGACAAACAAATTAAAACCACTTTAAAAAGAGCTACGAATTTAAATGAAAAGAGCCTCAGCCAACAGTACACTACCGGCAGCTTGTTATTTATGGAACGGAAACTGTTTCCTCTAATTTATACAATGAACAATTGCAGCCATTTAAAAATGTGCACATCACAGAATTAAGCTAAAACAAGACAAGCTAAACGAGGGGGGAGGGGGACATTTAAAGTTTGAATGTGGACTTTTTTATTTTTAGATCACATGAAACAGGATTCCCATGACGCAGATCATTCAAGTGTTTAGTCAGGGAGACACCACAGGAATAAAACTGCAACACGACGCATTGCATGAAAAACAATTCACGTTATTTTACATCTAAAAAGGTATTAATATTGCTTTGCATTCATTTGCGACAGCAACAGTCACTCCCACATACACACAGCTGGAAAATATGCCACAGCACTAGGAAAATGTGAAACATCATCTGTCTTTAGCAACGGACTCCAAACAAACCAGCATACCAGAATACCTTACACAGCCGTTAGCTCAACAATAAACCACAAAACATAACAAATGTTTTAACATAAGTGGGACTCAACCAGGTTTAAAAACAAAGATGACGTATTTTACACCTTATTTAAACACCCCTTCCATCAGCAACCACTTTTGAGATGTGAACTGTCGAACAGCTGTGGGATAGCCCTACATAATTACAGTACTCATAGCAAAAAAATCTAACAAAAAAATTAAAAACCTGTGACAGCAAGACTCATACATATTCAGGAACTAAAAACAAACAAACAAAAAAAAAACAGATTAGATGGCGCACACACTTGGAGCAGGATGACGGTCTAGTTGCGGTTCACGGCTCTATTGTGTGCGTGTGAGGACAGACTGCATGTCCACAATGAGCTGCACAAACACCTCTCCACTCACAATACATTGGGATTCTGGCTTCTCATTTAGCAATTTTAAAAACAGCAGAGCTTACTCAGCACATTGCAGCCTAGACCAACCCAGGCCCTCCAATTCAATTCAAATGGAACTGCTTGCATAAGCTGAGGCTGTCCATCCCATCTCTCTGGGACCCACACACCCCCTTTTAGCAGCCTATCATACACAGACCCTGCCATCGTCTACAGAGAAGTGGCTAGAAAGGCAATATAAATGGGTACAAGGACACAGCCATTCATTTTCTATGTTAATAATATTTTCAACAATCTCCAAAAGAGACTAAAACCACCAATGAATTGCATCTACTCACGGTCACTCTCCAACCTGGATAAGCTTGTCGTCTGTGCCGTAGAGCGCAGTTGCCCTCAAAAACTATTTAAAACTGTGAAACACACTGCTGCAGTGGGTGTTATGTTTCTTCATTCCAAAACATATGACTGGAATATTTGTAAAAACAAAATATGCTGGCCCAGAGCTACTCTAAGTTTTTACAGCGCCTGGAGTAAGCATGCACAAGATCTTCATGCATGGTCTCAGTTTTGTTTACAGTCCCATAGCTCCTCACACCTTCACGGAGATCTCGTCCATGCACAGCTAACTCTTGCTTACTTCAGCTGATGTAAAAGCATGCAGCTGTTCGAAGCCTTTGAGGAAACATTTTCAACCGGTATTCAGGTTGTTTTCTAATGAGGAAACATGTCACTCAGTGCAGCGATGTGTCTCGCTGACTTGTTTTTAAGTGTTTCTGTTTTAGTCTGTATGGGGATTGTTGAAAATACTAGTAATATAGAAAATTACCGACATTATCGTTTAAATTGTGCATTTTTGATGGCACACTCACCTATTAAGATGCTTCAGTTTCTTTGGTGGCAACAGCTTCCAATTCCAAATCTCTGAAACAGAGAAAAAGAGAAGGTTAATCTTTCTTGTCAAACTACGTGTAAGAAGGTTACACAGATGGGTGTTAAACTTCAGTGCATTGAAATGTCTCAAACTAATTACAGATGGTGTACATGTTAAAAGACCTGTGCTCCACCTACATATTCTACATAAGAACAATCATAAACAAACACATTAGTAATTGCTCTTTGAAAAGTATTTCATCTAGCTCATGTGGAAATGCAGGTTGAACTGCATAACAGAGGCCAATGCACGATCCGAGGGATGCGAGACCAGGATGCCCCAAAGTGCAGGATCTCCAATGTGAACAGAAAATGCTTGAGAATGACAAAAACAGAGTGCGTGCGTGTAGGTCAGAGTTGCAGCACGGGTCCTGATCGGCCATTATCTCAGCTGTTGCCCGATTTACAGCTTAACCAACATGGCTTCTCTCGAGCCTGATATTTTTGTTGCGCAGCCCAAACTAACAGTGGTCTTAAGAGGGCATGAAATTACAGTAGCTGTGATGAAAATATGACTTTGCCGTGTCTGCAGCGTCGTCGGTCGAGTGTAAAAAGTTAGGAGAATACTACTGCAAAACGAGCGCAGTGTTGAGCTAACCCGATGCTTTACCCCACTGCCGACAGAGGGTGTTAAACTGACCCAAATACAGCTCTGCAGGTTGATTTCACCAGCAAATCTACATCGATATCACGTTTCAACACATAATTTTGTTTGGTTAAGAACATCTGAACGGCCGTTTCTTCGTTGCAAGAGAGCAACCAGCTGGTCAATCAGTTGCACAGACAGCCGAGCAACCTACGTCGTCAAATTAGCATGGCTGCTAATGCTAGCTAAAAGCTAACGTAAGGAAGAGCTAGCTCATCAGGTCCTATTTTAAATGCAGCGATCGTGGTATTTTGTGGTATTTTGACGGTAGATGGAAAAAAAACAACAGTGCATTGCTGATAAATAAATTACAAGAAATAACAGCAATGCTATGTTCGAAAACAATACTTTGACAGAAATGTGCGCAGAGTTGACGAGGTACGCTTACGATTCTCGCACTAGTTAGCGTTAACACAAGGTTAAACTTCCTACAAATGCAAACATTTCCCCGTCCAACACGCCTCGAAGAGTTCTGTCACCTGCAAGTAAGCCATATCCCCTGGTTTGTCAGTAAAAGCGTTTGCCGATTACGTCTGCAAACTACAATGCCACCTTGTCAAATATTAGCTGAACAAGATGCTAACTGACTCGCTAGCATAGCTCAGTCGTGGCTAACTAAACAACAGCGGCTGCTCAACTTATCTACACCTGTCCCCGGTCTCCTTCTCCCGGCTCTTTTGAGTACATCAGATCGACAAAAAGAAGCGGTGCTATGCCAATAAAACACCTTAAAACCAATCTCACCTCATTTAAGTAAAAAGTGCAGCAGAGTGGAAAGGAAAGCCGGCTGTAAGGCTAAAAGAATTTCAACTCGTTTGCAGCATCTACGAGGGGAGGCATTCGTTCTGCATGATCGCCATTTTCTTCACTCGGTTCTTGCTAACACCTCCTTTCTCTTGAGCTCTGCTCTGCCCTCCTCTCTCTCTCTGCATTCATTTCTGCTCTGGCTCTGGCTCGGGGGGTGCAGGAACAGCACTCACCACTTCCTCTGAGAAAACCAAACAACAAAGGCAAGCTGAGCTGTATCGACAGAAATCATGAGTAAAAAGCCTGTAAAGCCAAGCATGTTAACCCCGTTGTTCACGCAGGTTTTTCCTTCTAAATAAATAAACCTATGAGAAATAGAAGCATTGTTCCATATGCATCCTAGATTAAAAAGTATAATGTTAAGGTTTGATTTTACAGTTTTTTTTATTTTAAAATATTTAAATAAGTAAGCCTTCAATAAAAATGCACCATGTGTATAAAGACACCATAAAAACCAAAAATATTTGTAAACAACAAAAATATTTGGAAAAGTTACATACTGTAGCTTTAATAAATACATATATATATATATATTCTATTAGCCAGGAATCATTTCCCATTTTTCATATTGATATCAAAGTGGTCAAATTTATTTCAAATAGTCTTTGGAAGTCAAACTGTAATTTTCAACAGTTTCTCAGATATTATTGTGGGAGAAATCTAGCAGGAAAATTTCACCATCAGGTAATTTGAACAACAAAATTTGTGCCATTCTACAAAATAGTAAAAGACATACATATTAACATATTTATACGGAAGAGTATTAGGGCCACTGCATACATTTTTTTTAAAATTCTGACTTTATTCTCCGAATTCTGACTTTATTCTCAGAATTCTGAGATTAAAGTCAGAATTTTTAATCTCAGAATTCTGACTTTATTCTGAGAATAAATAAAAAAAAAAAACGCAGTGGCCCTAATTAAACAAAAATTTATGCAGTGGCCCTAATACTCTTCCGTATATTTAGAACCATTTTTTGATTTGAAAACTCCCTTTCTGACACCAGCAAAGTTAAATTTTAAAAGGTATATGGGTAAGAAAACTGTAATGTGTTCAGCACTGACCACTTAAAAATCTTATTGTTATCATTATGTTTAACCGCATTACCTTGAATCCCACTGTGCAAACGGCAATTGACCTGGTGTGTGGGTGTAGAAACTGTCCAACTGCTATTCACTATTGCTGAGCAAAGAAAACCCCAAACCCTAAAAACTCCCAGTAGTGAGGGCATTTTTACCAGTATAAGAGGAAATGCTCTGCACATTACTGTGTAGTGTACTTTAGAATCTACACAGAAAACTGACAATATTCATCACACACAACTAAATAAGGAATGTGGATAATTTCAGCATCTCTTCACTGTATTTTAAAGGCTGTTATGTAAGAAATCAATAGTTTTTAGAGGACTGATGCCGAAACAACAGCAGAGAAACAACTACAGTGTGGAATCTGCCAACATTTCAGCAGTGAGACAAAGCCTGTTGCTGCCTGCAGGAGAGACCGGCAATACGTGTGCAAAAACATGAACATTGACCCACCAATAGCAAAAACAACCCCCAGCCTTGTGCACAAATGACTTATCTCTGCATATTTGATTGTAAGGGAGAGAGAGTGAGTCCTCTCCTGCCAAATAATGATTTTATCTGACCAGGTATCAAAGACAGCAAGATTAGATTATACAGTACATAAACAACTGGATAAGCTCTCAACCCCTGGGGATTACTGACAAATACTACCCAAAGCTTGGTTTCCCTGTAGATTCCTACTGCTGGCGATGTGTTTGTTACAACTGGGAATTCAAATATAATTGGTCTCAAGATGGGAAAATATCCAGTTGATTGTCCCTTTAGTTGTCTCTCTGGCTTCATGCACTTGGTTTAAGTTCCTATTTCTCAGCTGTTAAGCCATAATTACAAAATAAGACACAGTTAAATGTCATTTCTTTCAGAAACAGCTTCAGAAATGGAACCCTGGAGACAGGGTCAAAACAAAACCAAGCAAACAGGAAAGCATTCTGATGAGTAATGCATGAAAGTAAGACTCATTGTAAGCTCTGTAGTACATGTAGAGAAACTGTGTTTCTAAGAAAGAGTCAATAAAATGTCACACAACATTTTTTGGTGGTCTTTACAATACATGATAGATCTACATTGTTAAAATGTGTATATGAATAGGTTTACTGGGAGCAGAGCAGGGCAGCGAGTCAAAGAGTTTGGTAATAATCAGTGACACAGCAGTCACCTTGATAGGCAATGCAGCATAGGCCAAGGTTTAATCATTCACACACAGAGAGAGAGAGAGAGAGAGAGTTCTGTGCTGGAAAAATAGACCCTGGTTACTTTGGCAAACAAAGGTACACATACACGTGTGTCCACATTTACTGGAACAACTCTGACTGTACCAGTGAACAACCCCCATAATCTCATGCAAACACATTTTTAAGTCATTTTTTTATTGTTGTTTTATTTGTAGTGATGTAATGTTTCCATCATTTTACTTATGTGGATTTATTTCAACTACAGTCTGTATTGCATACATGCACACACAGGTCACAGTGAGCAGGTGCAGCTGCAGGAGTTAGGGCGTGAGTAAAAATGGGAAGGCCACTATACTGGAGAGAGAAAAGGATGCATAGATAATTGGACTGAAATGTGAATGTGCAGGAGGAAAAAGGGAAAGTGAGCAGTGAGGAGAGAGAGATTATGTGGAGGGGTAAGAGTGCGAGAGAGACTGACACGCAGAAGAAGGTCAGAGAAGAGATTTGCATGTCAAGTAGTAACAGGCTTGTCCTGAGTACCGACATGCACGCTACTAAGTCACAGTGTTCAAAGTGCTGCAGTGTGTTTCAAAGCTTGTCAACAATTTATACACAAATTCACAGTGTTTGTGTGTATCAGTGATGTTGATGCCATTCAGCTTGTCTTTACTCTCTCTTTGAGTTTGATCCAAATCATTCATCACTCCCCCATCGAGTCCACACATATCACCGTAGCTACCCCCTTCATTTTTCACAGTCTCCCTCTCCAACCTCATTATCTTCTCCTAGTCTCCACCCTCCTCCTTGACTTTCCATCTGCCCAAACATACACACATACTGTATACATAGTCACTGCAAGCCTGCAGACACACACACTGACACATATGGTCTTCTGTTGTATTTCTGATTGTGTTCATTTTCATTTTCTTCAAGTCCAGAGTTGCAACAACTTTGATAATTAAGTAATTGTTTTAGTTATTTTAAGCAAAAATAAAAAAAATTTTAAATTGTCGGTTCAAGCTGAATAAATATAAGAATTTGAGGCTTGTTGTCATGGATGGATGTTAGACGCAGCACAAATGAAATCTGTTTCCTTTAAGCAACCAAAGGTAGTTCATCCACTGTTAAGCATAATCTCTGAATGCACCAATACGAGTGCATTTTCTCAAAGTACTGAAACCAAAAAACTAATTACCAACAATTAGTCCATCACATTTGAAAATCTGCAAGTTCTTTCTTGCTTGCAAACAGAAAAATGGTAGAAAGGCAATTTGTATTTGTTAGTGTTAGGTATTTTTAGTCAGATAGATAGACGGGGTGTTTAATATTATTATTAGGACGTGTATAACTGTAGCCTTAGCCACAATATGGTTTTATGTTTATGTCACGACATGTTACTAGAAGTCGTGTGAGAATGTTTTTAGCTACACACCACTTAACCAACAGACACACACATTCACACGTTGATGTGTGAATGTGTGTGTCTTGATAAATCAGCACTGTTTTGAAGTTACTTGGACTGTCTCGTCTCTCAGAGTTAGCAATGGTAATAAGAACCATATCCTGCATTAGCTAATGTGAGTTATATTTCATGCTGTGTGAAAATGATATTGTTATACATTTAACAACGCTCCAAACTTACAAATTAAGTATTTTGGCAACAATGTCTCCACAACTGCAAAACAAGTTATAACTAAAGTAGCTGCAATCTGAATGAAGACAGTAGACAACCTTAACATTTCAGAGATATCATAGTGGACAGAACCTTTCATTTTACACTGACTGAAGTTAGAAAATGAACTAAAAGTATTATAATACACCCTGACTGGTGTAGCAGCATACAGCAGTGATGATGAAGCACTGGCACCACTTTACTGCCAGGTCTATGGAAAATGCATAAACATACTCAAAAATGTCTCTTAAAAAAGTATTACAATATTACATTACATTAAAGTATTACTGTTATGCTTGTGTTTTAGATTAAAAATGTCTGCCCTGCTTCAGTTGATGACTGCACAGACCTCTAACAAGAAACTTTAGCAAACATTTTCCATGTTTTTTTTTCTTCTGTCTACATGGAACACAATGATTTCTATCCAGCTCAGTCTCCATTTCTTTAAGCGTCTGGCTGAGAGGGTACCAGCTTTGAAATTGATTTTTTAACGCCCCCACCCCCGACCAAAATTATACCTGATTGTCAGCCAATTACCTGAGCATCCATCTCTCTTCAGCTCTAGGGGCATGCACACAGACACGCACAACAGACTGAATACCAACCTAATCCATCAACAATTTTACTTCTATTTTTTTCCCCCCCACACATGACTTTCATTCACCCTTGCAGACTTTGGATTGTCTGTACATAACACACACACACAGAACTATAGATTATTCTGCAATATATAAAGACAGGTACTATTATGTTATTTACAGGAGAGCTATCTCCCTCTGCCACCATAATCCATCACCAGGTTTCGAATATGCAGATAGTCTTGATAAGTGTGCTGTGTGACGGCATAACATATTCAAATGTACCCCTTTATTTAAATTCACTCATTTATATTCATATCACTGATCCAGTACTGGCCTTTCCTCTATTACTGCAGGAGCTCATGCAGATCAGTTGTTACAGGGTACAGTGATTGACTGCTCTTTATTACTACAATTATTCTATTTGCTTTCATGCTGAAAGTTTGGTAAGAAGACTAACACCACTGTCGTGTCTTGCAGGATATGGTTCTTCTTACCATTGCTAACTCTGAGAGACGAGACAGTCCAAGTAACTTCAAAACAGTGCTGATTTATTCAAAGGATCACAGGTAAAAATTAACATTACACGCTCAGGTATCTTGCACCTCCAAACTGCTCACAGGCAGATGTAAGATGAAAGACCCTGAACCCACCAGGCCTATACATTATATCCCCTCGGTT